AAAACAAGCATTCTGAGAGTATTGCATGGCAATACATAGTCCCCTATCAGGTAAAAATTTATTATACTGGAACAAAATGCTAACTTGTTCTATAACTTGTCATGGTGTAAACAAAAAGAAAATATCAAGTCAGTATCTTCAAGCATGACTAATAAACTGCTTCGCTGAGCGCAGCTGGATACGCCCGCAGAGGTCCAACCCTGAACAGTTGGGGCAAAAATGGACACAATATTTAAGCTTGATACAGGTCTGAATTTGGATTGTAATTAAATATTTGACATATTATCAATACATACAGTTACTGATAATCGCGACTATTTGATTGATTTATTCAACTTTTGTACACAATTATTTCCTGCATCCTGCAGATTATTCTTTTCCATCCTGCCTGGTCATACTTATTTATTTTTAACTCCTACTAGAATAATAATTTTCTAACACCCCCCCCCCCCCCCCCCCCCCTAAAAATCAAATGGTCATCCCCTTATACAATATTCAATTAATTTTAATGGCATGAAAAATGATAAAGTTGAAAATATGTAGAAAATTACTTTGGTTGCTGGGACTGAACCTCTGCATAGACGAAGTAGATCATGAACATAGCTTAGAAATTAAAATGGTATTGAATGCATTGTATTATAGTCTGATGTTTGAAATTAAAGATAAACCTGTATTTCTGATACGTATTTTAAAACTGCTTTTATATCTCTCTTCATTATCATGGCCGTTTAAAATATCAATGACGCAGAAATATTTGAAACAAATGTACATTCAAATAAGAGGATGTGGTATGAGTGCCAATGAGACAACTCTCAATCCAAGTCACAATGTATAAGAAGTTAACAATTATAGGTCACAGTACGGTCTTCAACACAGAGCCGAGGCCCTGTCTACTACATGTCATTTTTTTCTGTTGGTATTCTGAAAGCATTTTATAAGAGCTATATCTTCCCACATTTTATTTTGATGTTCTATCATTCATTTTCCCTTCAAATATTCATATAATGATACCTTAAAATTTTTCTCTGTATAGTCAATACAAAATGTTTCATATTTTTACAGCCTGTAGCTTAAAAACAAAACTCGGTGACCTATCATTGTGTTTTTCATATTTTTAACATATCACAATATATACTACATCTTTGACAAAGGATATAAGGACAAATTCTGTCAATTTTGGTTTACACTTCCATACTACTATTAGTAGAAATTTCGATTATTTAGTAAGGCCGGTAACTTGTCCTTGTACCCATAAAATTTCACGTAAAAGTCACCATAATAGTAACCTGTTTTTTTTAAAGAAAATTAAAAGTTCAAGTCTATGATACTAAACCTATATGTAGGCCGTAACCCCTTTACATGCATGTCACAAGCCGAAGATGCAAAAAAATATTTCAGAAAAACTGCGAATTGATACTGGAACAGAACTGAAATTAAATGTATTTTCTTTTTATCAATACTTTTCTCGTTTCAAGAAAAATCAAACTGATATACTGCATTGTCGAGGGCTGTATGGTGATATATAGTTGCTTTCTCATCTGTCATTTGGGTCTGGTGGATAGTTGTCTCGTTTGCAATCATACCACATCTTTTTATTTTAAATTTGTTAATCAAATAAACGATTATTAATATCTTAAACTTAAATAATCTCAAGATTACACCATGAGAGAGAGATTTGTATTATTAGTTGATTTATTATTGTATTGCTAAATATCAGAGTCAATTTGATGTAGCCCCCTGTCACGTATGATATCGTTAATTATCGGGGGATTTAAACTCAAACGCGCATAGGATTTCGAGATCAGCTTTGATAAGTCGCTTATGTGAAACTGGTCTATTGAAGATTTCTTGCTATTGTGCATTACTGTGCAATTGAAAATTTCTTGCTATTGCACAATACTTATTATATATAATAGTTTACACATCCTGTTTGGTGTGTATCTCCTACCATATCATTATTATTTGCTTTTAAATATAAATCAGAAATAACCAACATAAAATGGAAAATTTTAAAAGAAAAAAAAAAGGAAAAAAAGAAAAAAAAGGAAAAAAAAAAAATCCCCCACCCAAATTTTTTGAACCCCCTTTAAATCACCCCCAAACTCAATCCCAGCCTTCCCTTTGTGGTATGGTACCTTGCAGTAGAATTTCAGAAAGATCCATACACTTGCACACAAGTTATAGTCCTGAAACTAGAAAAATGCTAGTTTTTTACCCCTTTTTGGCCCCTAATTCCTAAAATATTGAGGCAATTACCCCCATCATCAATCCCAGCCTTCCATTTGTGGTATGGTACCTTGCAGTACAATTTCAGAGAGATCCATACACTTGAACACAAGTTATTGTCTGGAATCTAGAAAAATGCCTATTTTTGGCCCCTTTTTGGCCCACAATTCCTAAACGTTTTGGGCAATTACCCCCAAACTCAATTCCAGCTTTCCCTTTGTGATATGGAACCTTGTAGTACAATTTCAGAAATATCCAAACACTTACACACAAGTTATTGTCCGGAAACTAGAATAAAATGCTCCGCTAGGGCACAGCTTGATACGACCGCAGAGGTCGAACCCTGAACAGTTGGGGCAAGTATATATATATGGACACAACATTCAAGCTTGATACAGCACTGAATTTGAATTGTAATTAAATATTTGACACAGCATAGGTTTCTGACACAGAATGAAAGTGGTCTAAGAACTTAAAAATTTTGAATTTACCTATTCAAACCATATCATTATTATTTGCTTTTTTATATAAATCAGAAATAACCAATTTAAAATGGAAAATTCTAAAGAAAAAAAAGGAAGAAAAATCCCCCCCCCCAAATTTTTTGAACCCCCTTATGATTCATCACCCCCAAACTCAATCCCAGCTATCTCTTTGTGGTATGGTACCTTGCAGTACAATTTCAGAGAGATCCATACACTTGAACACAAGTTATTGTCTGGAAACTAGAAAAATGCTTATTTTTGGCCCCTTTTTGGCCCACAATTCCTAAATGTTTTGGGCAATTACCCCCAAACTCAATTCCAGCCTTCCCTTTGTGATATGGAACCTTGCAGTACAATTTCATAAAGATCCATACACTTACACACAAGTTATTGTCCTGAAACTAGAAAAATGCTTGTTTTTTTTTCCCTTTTATGGCCCCTAATTCCTAAAAATATGAGGGAATTACCCCCAAAATCAATCCAAGCATTCCCTTTGTGATATGGAACCTTGCAGTACAATTTCAGAGAGATCCATGCACTTGAACACAAGTTATTGTCTGGAAACTAGAAAAATGCTTATTTTTTGCCCCTTTTTGGCCCCATATTCCTAAACGTTTTGGGCAATTACCCCCAAACTCAAACCCAGCTTTCCCTTTGTGATATGGAACCTTGTAGTACAATTTCAGAAAGATCCATACTCTTACACACAAGTTATTGTCATGAAACTAGAAAAATGCTTGTTTTTTGCCCCTTTTTGGCCCCTAATTCCTAAAATTTGGAGGCAATTACCCCCAAAATCAATCCCAGCATCCCCTTTGTGATATGGAACCTTCTGGTACAAATGTCAGAGAGATCCATACACTTATACACAAGTTATGTCTGGAAGTTACAAAAATGCTTATGTTTGGCCCCTTTTTGGCCCCTAATTCCTTAACTGTTGGTACCATAACCCCCAAAATTAATCCCCACCTTCCTTTTGTTGTATTGAACCTTATGGTAAAATTTCATTGAGATCCATTCACTTAAACTAAAGTTAGAGTGCGAAAACTAATGTGTCTTCGGACGACGACGACGCCGGACGACGATGACGACAGCGATGAAGACAACACCGCCTACGTCATACCAATATACGACCGCAAAATTTTTGCGGTCGTATAAAAACTTAAACTGCAGACTGTATGTAATGTTAACTGGAAGAAAAACTAAGTCCATTTATAAGTAAAATACGGAAAGAATGGAACAAAATTTTAACAAAATTTCCTTCTAGATACTAGCTTTTAATCATAAACAAGCTTCTGTCCAAGTTTGGTACAAATCCAGGATAGTTTAAGAAAGTTGTTAAAATTTTAAATTTTTAACCACAGAGTGAATGTAATGTTTCCTGGCAGAAAAACTAAGTCCATTTATAAGTAAAATACGGAAAAAATTGATTTTTTTTTTACAAAATTTACTTTTGAATATTATCTTATGATCATAAAAACAAGCTTCTGTCCAAGTTTGGTCGAAATCCAGGATAGTTTAAGAAAGTTATTAAAATTTCAAAAACTTTAACCACAGAGTGAATATTTGTGGGCGCCGCCGACGACGACGAAGCCGACGGATTGTAGGATCACTATGTCTCGCTTTTTCGACAGAAGTCGAAGGCTCGACAAAAAGCTAAATATTTAAAAGTTACCAACCTTTGAATCCATGACAAGTCGCCCCAATTTTTCACATACTCGCCCCACTTTCTACCTACTCGCCCCACTCTGGTTTACCAAATCAACCCACTTATGAATAAAATGCTTCGCTGAGCGCAGCCTGATACGACCGCAGAGGTCAAACCCTGAACAGTTGGGGCAAATTTGGACACAATATTCAAGCTTGAAACTGTCTGAATTTGGATTGTTATCAAATTTTTGACATAATATAGGTTTCTGACACAAAATAAATGTGGTCAAAGATCTTATAAATCCATTGCGCAATACTGTGCAATTGAAGATTTCTTCTTGAAACTTTTCAAAAATTCGAAATTTTAAAAATTTTGAAAAAAAATTATGAATCCCTTAAAAAATTCCCCCCCCCCCCCAACTATTTGAAACCCCCCTTGGAGCAATAACCCCAAAACTCAATCCCAGCCTTTCCTTTGTAGAATGGAACCTTGTAGTACAATTTCAGAGAGATCTATACACTTACACACAAGTTATTGTCTGGAAACTAGAAAAATGCTTGTTTTTGGCCCCTAATTCAAACATGTTTGGGGCAATTAACCCCAAACTCAATCCCAGCCTTCCCTTTGTAATATGGAACCTTGTGGTACAATGTCCGAGAGATCCATACACTTACACACAAGTTATTGTCTGGAAACTAGAAAAAATGCTTGTTTTTGGCCCTTTTTGGCCCTTAATTCCTAAACTGTTGGCCCCATAACCCCTAAAATGTATCCCAACCTTCTACTTGTGGTATTAAACATTGTGGTACAATTTCAGAGTAATCGAAATACTTATACACAAGTTATTATCCTGGAACTAGAAAATGCTTGTTTTGGGCCCCTAATTCCTAAATGGTTGAGACCATCATCCCCAAAATCAATCCCAACCTTCCTTTTGTGGTATTGAACCTTTCTTAAAAAATTTCATAGCGATCCATTTACTTAAACTAAAGTTATTGTCCAGAAACCAATATGTCTTCGGACGACGACACAGACGACGATGACGACATCATACCATTATACGATCCAAAAAAAATTTTTGCGGTCGTATAAAAAGGGTAAAATCCATTTGAATTTACTCCTGACAACTCGCCCTGCTTATAAAAAAATTTGGAAAGGGTTCCATGGAACCCTATATCTCGCCTACGATTGCTGCTGTCAGAGTTGAAGTGTAATGTTGACTTTAAAAGTGAGTCCATTTATCAGTAAAATACTTTCTCTTTAGATGCTATTTCTTGGTCTTGGAAGATTAGCTTCTGTCCAAGTTTCATAACAATCCATGAAGGTTAACAAACTTATAATGTCAAAAAATTTTAATCCCAGACTGTCTGTAAATTTTAACCCTAGTACTGCTGTTCGTCGATATAGTGATTGCCCCAATAACTTTACTCTACTGCCAGTCGTCAATATATTGATAACTTCCTGTAGGTTCATTCAGTGCCGGTCGTCACTATATTGACTTTCTATATAAGATAAAGGTTTTGAGTTCTAGCCAATCAAATCACACAGATATTTTTATTTTAAGTCGATATTACGTCAGAAGAAGGATTTCCCTGTAGAAAGATGTTTTCATTGGTTGCTTCCCGCATTCCATTCTAAAATTATTTTGATGACAAAATTGACCCCGTAGTTTGTTTACATTCGAGTATGAAACAATAGAAGCATTTGTAGAAGTAGCGTATGGGGCACATTTTAATGGGAGTAGACCATGAAAATTGTGATTTTGAAAGATAAATATTTCTAAAAGATGATTCGGACGACGAACTTATAGGTTTTGATGAGGATAATCTAGAAAAGGACGAAAAAATAGCGCTGTTTTAGGATAAGTAGAAACCTGGATATACGTGGTCTCGCTTTTGATTCTGAAAAGAAGTTAAACTTTGATGTTGGAGAAAATACAGAGATAAAAGATTTCTTACGTTTATAATTATTAATTAAGAGTTCATAAAGAAATTAGTTGAAGAACCAAACGTATGCACACTAGACTTTTTTGAGTCGGAGCAAGGACAACAATATTGAAAAGTAAAATAACGAATTACAAGGAAAATTCACACTCATGGTTTAAATTATTGGACGATGTCAACCGTGTTGACATGAAGCAATTCATCATGAAATAATAATATGTATTATTTGTCTTCTTTTTGCTAATTAAATCAGATTTACAAATATTTTTAATAATCAAATAAATAAAAACGTAATTTTTTTACTTTCATTTGAACTACATGATATATATCTAAATAATTTCATAATCCACTGTCACTTTTTTTACACTGTGAAATTCTGCATTCAATTCTGCAAAACAAACTCATTTAATGTTACTTTCTAAAATGTTCAAAAATCATAGAAAATTGATAAAACAATTACATGGTGTGACACTGATAAATTTCTGTAAAACAACTAAGCACAGTGAGATGCAGAGGCTAATTAGCATCATGGCGCTGCAGTGAACTGATAATCTTTTTATAGCTGGGAGTACTAGGGTTAACTGTAAAAACTTATTAGATATATAAGAAGATGTGGTATGAGTGCCAATGAGACAACTCTCCATCCAAGTCAAAATTTATAAAGGTAAACCATTATAGGTCAAAGTACGGTCTTCAACAGGGAGCCTTGGCTCACACCGAACAGCAAGCTATAAAGAGCCCCAAAAATTACTAGTGTAAAACCAACGGTCTAATCTATATAAAAAACAAGAAACGAGAAACACTTATGAACCACATCAACAAACGACAACTACTGAACATCAGATTCCTGACTTAGGACAGGTGCAAACAATTGCAGCGGGTTTAAACGTTTTAATGGTACCAAACCTTCACCCTTATCTGAAACAATAGTGTAACATCAAAACATAGTCCATCTATCAGAAAAATACAGAAAGTGAAAATATATTTTCAAAAGTTTGCTTCAGACATTATCTCTTAATCATGTTAATCATAAAAAAAGTTTAATTAAATTCTATGAAGGTTTGACAAAGTATTTGATGTGTAACAAACCTTAACCCCAGACTGTTTCTACTCGGTAATTGTAAAAATCAAAGAGCTGAAAGCTCTGAGGAAAAATGACGCCACTGTCTCTAATATTGATATATTTTTTATGCAAGTCTTGATTTTCACATGTCGTAATAAGTTTAACATTGCAACATGTCTAGTAAGCATATAATTGATATTCGTATATGTGTCTGTTTTTTCAGTACAAATGAATAGGTCAAGACTACCTGAATGATCTACAGTATCCAATTACTACTGGCATTTTTTTTGTATAAATAAATAGGTCAAGACTACCGGAATGATCTATAATATCCAATGACTACTGGCTGTTCTTTTGTACTAATAAAAAGGTCAAGACTATTTGAATGATCTACAATATCCAATGACTACTGGCTGTTCTTTTGTACATATAAATAAAGACTACCTGAATGATCTAAAGTATTCTAAGTAATGTGATTTTTTTCTTGCAATTACATTTTTCTAAATCAAGAATATAGACTACTAGTATCCTTTTCAAACCAAATGATTATGAAGAGCCTGTTGTTAGCAAGCTCTTATACCCCACATACTCATTAAATAAGTTACTAGTGACCTAGTTATTTCTGTTACTTGAAGCAAATTATATTTCTGTATATTTAGACAATAGTATAATATTGTTTTACTAGTTTTATTTCACCTTGAAGATTAGACAAATAGGGATACTCCTTCGATTTTTTATTTCATGTCAGTCAGGTCGCTTTATATGAAATTTGAAACCACTTCTCTGCCATATTGTTATTTTATAACAACTCTGCCCTTGACCATGTTGACCCATGTAATTGATATTCATTCTTAACCATATATCATAGTCAGTTAGTTTTTGATTTTGCACTCCCACACCACCTTTCATGTCTTTCAGGTCAAATGTCTGTCTCCATTTAAGTTAATGACATTGAACAATCATGGTATTAAACACAATTTCAATAGTGATAATGCTGTTCTCGTGGGTCACCATATATTCAACTAGGGTAGCATTCCAGTTATTGAAATTTGTGTCAGATTAGAACAATGATCTAGATCTTTAGGAATGGATCTTATAATTTAATATGGAGCCATAGTATGAGACCCCTACACGGTAACAAAAAAAATAAAATGCTCCGCAGGGCGCAGCTTGATACGCAGAGGTCGAACCCTGAACAGTTGGGGCAAGTATGGACACAACATTCAAGCTTGATACAGCTTTGCATTTGGATTGTGATTAAATATTTGACACAGCATAGGTTTCTGACACAGAATGAATGTGGTCTAAGAACTTAAAAATTTTAAATTGGACATTCACCTATTATGGTCCAATATCCAAAATCTAAATACATGGTTAGATTCAGCATATCAAAGAACCCCAAGGATTCAATTTTTGATGAAATCAAACAAAGTTTAATTTTGGACCCTTTTGACCTCAATGTGGACAAAGTTGATAACGGGGCCCAAAAATCAAAAATCTAAATACATGGTTAGATTCAGCATATCAAAGAACCCCATATATTCAATTTTTGTTGAAATCAAAGAAAGTTTAATTTTTGGACCCTGATTTGGACCAACTTGAAAACTGGGCCCATAATCAAAAATCTAAATACATGTTTAGATTCAGCATATCAAAGAACCCTCAGAATTCAATTTTTGTTAAAATCAAACTAAGTTTAATTTTGGACCCTTTGGACCTTCATGTAGACCAATTTGAAAACGGAAACAAAAATTAAGAATCTAAATACACGGTTAGATTCGGCATATCAAAGAACCCCAATTATTCAATTTTTGAAGAAATCAAACAAAGTTTAATTTTGGACCCTTTGGACCTCAATGTGGACCAATTTAAAAACGGGGCCCAAAATCCAAAAACGAAATACACGGTTAGATTCAGCATATTAAAGAACCCCAAGAATTCAAGAATAAAACCCCATTGAAATTGGTCAAGAAATAAGCAATTTATACGAAGTATCTTCTTTTGCACAATACTGTGCAATTAAATATTTCTTGCTATTGTGCAATACTGTACAATTGACAATTTCTTGCTATTGCGAAATATTGTGCTATTGGATATTTCTTGCTATTGCGCAATACTGTGCAATTGAAGATTTCTTGCTATTGCGCAATACTGTGCAATTGAAGATTTCTTGCTATTGTGCAATACTGTGCAATTGAAAATTTCTTGCTATTGCACAATACTTATTATATAATAATTTACACATCCTCTTTGGTGTGTATCTCCTATCATATCATTATTATTTGCTTTTAAATATAAATCAGAAATAACCAACTTAAAATGGAAAATTTTAAAAGAAAAAAAAAGGAAAAAAAGAAAAAAAAGTAATAAAAAAAAAATCCCCCCCCTAAATTTGTTGAACCCCCTTATGATTCATCACCCCCAAACTCAATCACAGCCTTCCCTTTGAGGTATGGTACCTTGCAGTACAATTTCAGAGAGATCCATACACTTGAAAACAAGTTATTGTCTGGAAACTAGAAAAATGTGTTTTTTTGGCCCCTTTTTGGCCCCAAATTCCTAAATGTTTAAGGCAATTACCCCCAAACTCAAACCCAGCTTTCCCTTTGTGATATGGAACCTTTAAGTACAATTTCAGAAAGATCCATACACTTACACACAAGTTATTGTCCTGAAACTAGAAAAATGCTTGTTTTTTGCCCCTTTTTGGCCCCTAATTCCTAAAATATTGAGGCAATTACCCCCATCATCAAGCCCAGCCTTCCCTTTGTGGTATGGTACCTTGCAGTACAATTTCAGAGAGATCCATACACTTGAACACAAGTTATTGTCTGGAAACTAGAAAAATGCTTATTTTTGGCCCCTTTTTGACCCCCAATTCCTAAACGTTTTGGCAATTACCCCCAAACTCAATTCCACCTTTCCCTTTGTGATATGGAACCTTGTAGTACAATTTCAGAAAGATCCATACACTTACACACAAGTTATTGTCATGAAACTAGAAAAATGCTTGTTTTTTGCCCCTTTTTTGGCCCCTAATTCCTAACATTTTGAGGCAATTACCCCCAAAATCAATCCCAGCATTCCTTTTGTGATATGGAACCTTGTGGTACAATGTCAGAGAGATCCATACACTAACACACAAGTTATGTCTGGAAGTTACAAAAATGCTTATTTTTGGCCCCTTTTTGGCCCCTAATTCCTTTACTGTTGGTACCATAACCCCCAAAATCAATCCCAACCTTCCTTTCGTGGTATTGAACCTTGTGGTAAAATTTCATAGAGATACATTCACTTAAACTAAAGTTAGAGTGCGAAAACCAATGTGTCTTCGGACGACGCCAGACAACGACGACGACGACGCCAACGTCATACCAATATACGACCATAAAATTTTTTTTTGCGGTCGTATAACAATCGGAAGGCCAATACTGCTGGCCGAGGACCAATAATAAGGCCAATACAGAAATACACGTAATAGTATCTTTATTAATTAACTACAGTGTTACAATATTTTTTTTATTTCATTTCACAAGAGATAAACATTTTTACCTTGAAGTGGAACTATCCAAATCTCAAGTTTCTTTTTATAAGATGCAACATCTAATGATTCGGTGCCGTTTGAAGTATCTTCAGCATTTTCTCATCTAATGAATTTTTCTACCCTTTCCAGTCACTATAAAGTGTTACAACTTTAATTTAGACACAACACATAAATAGTAATTGGAAAGGTACTGCCATTGCATGTGTAATGCAAATATATTTAAAAAAAAAATAATGTAAGAGTTGAAATTGATACAACTATCCATAAGCCAATTGACCAAAGAAACGAAGATTTGCACAATTACAGAATGCATATGCCTGGTTCGGGTTTAAGAATAAACGACCGTTTAAATACAAAACATGAGAAGCGACAGTAAACAGTAAAAAATCGATTTGTACCATCGACATGATGAAATTATGAGGTCGTCAAGAAATGAACTTTATGATAATTTACTCGTTCCCCCAACCTGAAATAATCCCATCGTCTACTTTCAAAATGCTTTTTAAATGAATGGGACCGTCTTTAACCTAAAATATATGCCATACTGAACGTTTCAGCTTGTTAATGGTGAGTAAACCTGCGTCTTACAAACAACTGTTTACTTTCAGTTTGAGTTTATCGTGACTTACGATCTAAAAACTAGAGACGTTCCGAAATCCTGTTTTGTAAACAAAGATTCATACGCACCGCGTGGGTATAACCGTACTACTAATTTCCGATTTTTAAAATCTTCGTAAATCTGGATAAAGACCAGTTTCTATCCAATGGATATCAAAATGATTCCGATTTTCACTTTTTTTAATGATTGTAAAGTTGAAATGGCATGAAAGGCTGACATTATTTAGGAAAACTATTTTGTCTAGCGATTGCTGATCATTGGAGGGTAAAAAGTCCAACACCATAACAAAACGGATCTATTTATCATGTATACATACCGATTGTTTACGATTGTAAGACATGTGCATAAAAGTGAAAGCTCGAATAAATATGAAAAATATAACAAAGGGATAGCTCCAAATACCATTTAATAACAAAAAACATATGGACAGGTCAAGATATCTTTTTGGTAAATAAAATAAAGTATGTAAACTGGTTCCGTTGCGACTACAACACTTTGTTCGTGTGTAGCGTAATACAAGCAGACTCCAGTTAGTAAATTTGAAACCGAGTGCGGTAGGCGGAGGCAATAATCGACTTCCGTAAGTTCTGGTCAATGGTATCGGAAACATGCCGCTGATAGCGTCATTTTCCAAAAACTAAGTCCATTTATCAGTAAAAATATCAAAATTTTGCTCTGGATACTGTACATTTATTTCGGTCATAAACAAGCTTCTGTCCAAATATCATAAAATTCCATGAAGGTTTGACAAAGTAATTGATGACTGAAAAACTTTAACCTCAGACTGAATATGAATGTTAACTGTAAAAAAAACTAAGTCCATTTATCAGCATGATCAGTAAAATATGGAAAAATGAAAATAAAATATTTTCAAATTTTGCTCTGGATACTGTACCGTCCTTAGGTGTGTATAGTAAGCGGGTTTTTACCCTGGGAATGATTTCTGGAAAGGGGCGTATGGCTACAGTTCTTTAGACTTTTTCATTTCAGGTTGAATTCCGACCAAGAACATGAAGAAACCAAGTGGTCTGGAGGAAAATATTTTCATAGCATAAATATGATTGTTATTTGTTTAACACGTATATTTGTACCTTTTTGTATTTGAATTGTAATGTTATATGCAAATAAAATGCTCCGCTGGGCGCAGCTTGATACGACCGCAGAGGTCGAAACCTGAACAGTTGGGGCAAGTATGGCCACAACATTCAAGGAATCAAGCTTGATACAGCACTGAATTTGGATTGTGATTAAATATTTGACACAGCATAGGTTTCTGACACAGAATGAATGAGGTCTAAGAACTTAAAATTTTTTAATTTACCTATTCAAACCATTTCATTATTATTTGCTTTTATATATAAATCAGAAATAACCAATTTAAAATGGAAAATTTTAAAGAAAAAAAAGGGAAAAAAAAAAATCCCCCCCCATTTTTTGAACCCCCTAATGATTCATCACCCCCAAACTCAATCCCAGCCTTCCCTTTGTGGTATGGTACCTTGCAGTACAATTTCAGAGAGATCCATACACTTGAACACAAATTATTGTCTGGAAACTAGAAAAATGCTTGTTTTTTGGGCCCTTTTTGGCCCCAAATTCCTAAACGATTAGGGCAATTACCCCCAAACTCAAACCCAGCTTTCCCTTTGTGATATGGAACCTTGTAGTACAATTTCATAAAGATCCATACACTTACACACAAGTTATTGTCCTGAAACTAGAAAAATGCTTGTTTTTTTGCCCCTTTTTTGGCCCCTAATTCCTAAAATTTTGAGGCAATTACCCCCAAAATCAATCCCAGCCTTCCCTTTGTGGTATGGTACCTTGCAGTACAATATCAGGGAGATCCATACACTTGAACACAAGTTATTGTCTGGAAACTAGAAAAATGCTTATTTTTGGCCCCTTATTCCTAAACGTTTCGGGCAATTACCCCCAAACTCAATTCCAGCTCTCCCTTTGTGATATGGAACCTTGTAGTACAATTTCAGAAAGATCCATACACTTACACACAAGCTATTGTCATGAAACTAGAAAAATGCTTGTTTTTTGCCCCTTTTTTGGCCCCTAATTCCTAAAATTTGGAGGCAATTACCCCCAAAATCAATCCCAGCATTCCCTTTGTGATATGGAACCTTGTGGTACAATGTCAGAGAGATCCATACACTAACACACAAGTTATGTATGGAAATAACAAAAATGCTTATTTTTGGCCCCTTTTTGGCCCCTTATTCCATAACTGTTAGTACCATAACCCCCAAAATCAATCCCAACCTTCCTTTTGTGGTATTGAACCTTATGGTAAAATTTTATAGAGATCCATTCACTTAAACTAAAGTTAGAGTGCGAAAACCAATGTGTCTTCGGACGATGACGACACCGGAACGACGACGACGCCGACGTCATACCGATATACGACCGCAAAATTTTTTTGCGGTCGTATAATAAAAATCATTTAAATGCTTTAGTAGTTGTTTTTTTTGCGTTTTCTTATGTTCTCTGTTTCTGACCGGAAGTTGCATTTGATCATGTTCAAATTAGAGATGGAGGATTCTGTCAATGACCAAATCATTGTAGATGTTTCCCCGAGTTAATTACTTAATTTTGTCATAAACAAGCTTCTGTCCAAATTTCATGAAATTCCATGAAGATTTGACCTAGTTATTGATGTCTAAAAAAACTTTAACCACAGACTGAACCAAATGTTGACGCCACCGACAATGGAATTTAGGATCGCTATGTCTCGCTTTCACAACATAAATGTCCCAGGCTTGACAAAAAGGGAAAAATTGCATTGAATTTAGTCCTGCCAACTCGCCCCACTTATAAAAAATAGTAAAATCCAGATGAATAACTCAATAAGGTCTGCCAACTCGCCCCACTTATGAAAAAGAGAATTAAACCGTACTGCATTAAAGACTACCAACTTGCCCCACCTATGAAAAGGAGTTTAATCCCATGTCCACTGAATAAAGGTCTGCCAACTCGCCCAACTAATGAAAAATGAATTAAACCATACTGAATTAAGGCCTACCAACTGGCCTCACTTAAGAGTTAAATGAAACTACATAATTTTGGATCAAGTAGGGTCACCAATGTGCAGATTAAATGACATACCGATTAAGCGATTTGCTTGTTCAATAACTATAGGCTATAACAAATTGTATGCATGCATTTTTTTGTTGTAAATATTAAAATTTTGAAAAGTGTTTGAAGTGGGGGGTTGAAATTTTCATGTCTTTGAAAGGGGGTCTTGAATTTATTTCGCTACTTCCGTGGGGACTTAAAAAAATTAAGAGAAATTCTAATGTTTCCTCGGGCCATCCCCCAAATGAAAGAAAATGACCAGTCCCTTAGATTAGATAAGTTTTCCCCAATGGCAATGCTTACAAAATAATATATCAGCTGAATTCTCATTAAATGCATGATTCTGGATCTCTTCTTCAAAAACAGTCATATGAACTTTCGCTTTCTCATCTTGCTAGAGGCGTTGACGGAAGCTTATCTTCTAACTTATATTAAAGCGCAATTTCGTAAATTCCTCTAGTTTAGTTTCGCCACAAAATTCCTTCGCACCCTTGTTTGTTTTATTGCATTATTGATGTTTTGGTGTTACGTATAACTTTCTGCAGACCGTCACTAGTTGATGATATCTGCGCTATATTTACATTCTAGACAACAAATATGACCACCTCATTTAGTAAGTGTGGTGTTTCCTCGCTATAATATCGTGACTGAAAACTGGGTCGAGTGAAATCGGTTTCTGGTCATTTCGGTACCTATTGAAAAAGCAAAATCGACACTTGGTCAATTCGGCACCTGTTCAAATCTTCACTAATTGAAGTTCATTTTGGCATTTGGTAAATAAAATCGGCACTCTATATTATTCGCGAAAGTAATTTCAAATAATTAAGTCAAATACAAATATTTTATTGGCACAAACTCATTTACAATAAATGGTTAAGACCTATATTCCATACACATGATACATAATAACATTAACAGACATGATGAAAAGTTGTTGTACATTCTGATATATGCTTTCATGTCGATCCGGCCCCAAGTCGATCCGTCCCAAGTCGTTCCGTCCCAAGTCGATCCGGCCCCATATTTAAAGTCGATCCGGCCCCAATAAAAAAATATATTTGATAAGGAATAATAATAAAGATATAAATGAATTGTAATTCATAAATGTTTATGAATTTTAAAATAATGTAAAATGCGTACGGTAAAAAAAGTTCAATGGCCTTTGACGAATATTTTCATTAGATGAGTATACAACAACTCTGTTGATTATGTTTTTATTACTGTGACAAGTTTTCAAGGCTATTGGGTATAATCCATTCATTCGTGTTGGGTTTTATCGTCCGGCTATCTTGGTAGATATTGCGGACTACAATAACCTATTCTTGCAGTGTTGGATCTGCTGTTCTTTTCCCTTTCATCTTGCTCCGACCTGGTGGTTGCGGTTGGTACGGAGTGTCTGGTCGTTATTGTAGGACAAAGGCAGTTTGAATGGCCTTTGGATCTGGCAAGGATATAGGAGAAGTATGAGATGGTGTGCGAAGTAGGTCGGGGGCTTCGATGTCATATCCCTCTGTGAAATCTATCCTACAACGCTTACTTCTAGGTTTGGATGGAATATAGAAGTAACGGCGATGGCATGCCTTCTGGGAGTTGTACGGACTATTGACAACGTCCGTCTTGATGTTGACTCCCTCTGGTTCTCTACGATACTTTGTTGGTGTAAGTGGTATACCAATGACTGTATCCCTGCATGGCTTGTGTCTGGTAGGTGTTTTCTACGCTTGTAGTGGTGGTAGGTACAGAGGTAGCAGCGGAAGCTACGGCTTTTTTGGAGTCCATCCGCTGGGTGAAACGCTCGGCATTTCGTCTCCTGGTAGATGGAGGCTTCTGTTTCCATTGCAGGGCATTTTTTGGTTATACTAAGTAAAATAAATTGAAGTAACCACCACAATAAGGTTTTATATGAAAGGAGCTTTCTATTGGTTACACTTAGTAAAATAGATTGCGGTAACCACCACGATGAGGTTTTATATGATATGAGCTTTGTATTGGTAGTACCTAGTAAAGTAGATTGAAGTAACTACCACAATGAGGTTTTATATGAAATGAGCTTTCTATTGGTTACTCTTAGTAAAATAGATTGCGGTAACCACCAGGATGAGGTTTAATATAATACGAGCATTTTTTTTGGTTATACTAAGTAAAATAGATTGAAGTAACCACCACAATGAGCTTTGATATGAAAGGACCTTTCTATTGGTTACACTTAGTAAAATAGATTGCGGTAACCACCACGATGAGGTTATATATGATATGAGCTTTGTATTGGTTGTACCTAGCAAAAATAGATTGCGGTAACCACCACGATGAGGTTTTATATGATATGAGCTTTGTATGGGTTTTACCTAGTAAAATAGATTGAAGTAGCCACCACAATGAGGTTTTATATGAAATGAGCTTTCTATTGGTTACTCTTAGTAAAATAGATTGCGGTAACCACCAGGATGAGGTTTAATATAATACGAGCATTTTTTTTGGTTATACTAAGTAAAATAGATTGAAGTAACCACCACAATGAGGTTTTATATGAAAGCTTTCTATTGGTAAAATTAGTAAAATAGATTGCGGTAACCACCACGATGAGGTTTCATATGATATGAGCTTTGAATTCGTTGTACCTAGTAAAATAGATTGAAGTAACCACCACAATGAGGTTCTATATGAAAGGAGCTTTCTATTGGTTACACTTAGTAAAATAGATTGCGGTAACCACCACGATCGATGAGGTTTTATATGATATGAGCTTTGTATTGGTTGTACCTAGTAAAATAGATTGAAGTAACCACCACAATGAGGTTTTATATGAAATGAGCTTTCTATTGGTTACTCTTAGTAAAATAGATCGCGGTTACAACCAGGATGCGGTTTAATATAATACGAGCATTTTGTTTTTGTTATACTAAGTAAAACAGATTGAAGTAACCACCAAAATGAGGTTTTATATGAAATGAGCTTTCTTTCTATTGGTTACACTTAGTAAAATAGATTGCGGTAACCACCACGATGAGGTTTTATATGATATGAGCTTTGTATTGGTTGTACCTAGTAAAATAGATTGCGGTAACCACCACGATGAGGTTTTATATGCGGATATGAGCTTTGTATGGTTTTTATCCAGTAAAATAGATTGAAGTAACCACCACAATGAGGATTTATACGAAAGAGCTTTCTATGGGTTACTCTTAATAAAATAGATTGCGGTAACCACCACGATGAGGTTTCATATGATATGAGCTTTGTATGGGTTTTACCTAGTAAAATAGATTGAAGTAGCCACCACAATGAAGTTTTATATGAAATGAGCTTTCTATTGGTTACTCTTGGTAAAATAGATTGCGATAACCACCAGGATGGGGTTTAATATAATACGAGCATTTTTTTTAGTTATACTAAGTAAAATAGATTGAAGTAACCACCACAATGAGCTTTGATATGAAAGGACCTTTCTATTGGTTACACTTAGTAAAATAGATTGCGGTAACCACCACGATGAGGTTTTATATGATATGAGCTTTGTATTGGTTGTACCTAGCAAAAATAGATTGCGGTAACCACCACGATCGATGAGATTTTATATGATATGAGCTTTGTATTGTTTGTACCTAGTAAAATAGATTGAAGTAACCACCACAATGAGGTTTTATATGAAATGAGCTTTCTATTGGTTACTCTTAGTAAAATAGATTGCGATAACCACCAGGATGAGGTTTAATATAAAACGAGCATTATTTTTGGTTATACTAAGTAAAATAGATTGAAGTAACCACCACAATGAGGTTCTATATGAAAGGAGCTTTCTATTGGTTACACTTAGTAAAATAGATTGCGGTAACTACCACGATGAGGTTTTATATGATATGAGCTTTGTATTGGTTGTACCTAGTAAAATAGATTGAAGTAACCACCCCAATGAGGTTTTATATGAAATGAGCTTTCTATTGGTTACTCTTAGTAAAATAGATCGCGGTTACAACCAGGATGCGGTTTAATATAATACGAGCATTTTGTTTTTGTTATACTAAGTAAAACAGATTGAAGTAACCACCAAAATGAGGTTTTATATGAAAGGAGCTTTCTTTCTATTGGTTACACTTAGTAAAATAGATTGCGGTAACCACCACGATGAGGTTTTATATGATATGAGCTTTGTATTGGTTGTACCTAGTAAAATAGATTGCGGTAACCACCACGATGAGGTTTTATATGCGGATATGAGCTTTGTATGGTTTTTATCCAGTTAAATAGATTGAAGTAACCACCACAATGAGGTTTTATACGAAAGAGCTTTCTATGGGTTACTCTTGATAAAATAGATTGCGGTAACCACCACGATGAGGTTTCATATGATATGAGCTTTGTATTGGTTGTACTTAGTAAAATAGATTGAAGTAACCACCACTATGAGATTTTATATGAAATGAGCTTTCTATTGGTTACTCTTAGTAAAATAGATTGCGGTAACCACCAGGATAGGGTTTAATATAATACGAGCATTTTTTGGGGTTATACTAAGTAAAATAGATTCAAGTAACCACCACAATGAGGTTTTATATAAAAGGAGCTTTCTATTGGTTACACTTAGTAAAATAGATTGCGGTAACCACCACGATCGATGAGATTTTATATGATATGAGCTTTGTATTGGTTGTACCTAGTAAAATAGATTGAAGTAACCACAACAATGAGGTTTTATATGAAATGAGCTTTCTATTGGTTACTCTTAATAAAATAGATTGCGGTAACCACCAGGATGAGGTTTAATATAAAACGAGCATTATTTTTATTTATACTAAGTAAAATAGATTGAAGTAACCACCACAATGAGGTTTTATATGATATGAGCTTTCTATTGGTTACACTTAGTAAAATAGATTGCGGTAACCACCACGATGCGGTTTTATATGATATGAGCTTTGTATGGGTTTTACCTAGTAAAATAGATTGAAGTAGCCACCACAATGAAGTTTTATATGAAATGAGCTTTCTATTGGTTACTCTTAATAAAATAGATTGCGGTAACCACCAGGATGAGGTTTAATATAAAACGAGCATTATTTTTGGTTATACTAAGTAAAATAGATTGAAGTAACCACCACAATGAGGTTTTATATGAAATGAGCTTTCTATTGGTTACACTTAGTAAAATAGATTGCGGTAACCACTATGATGAGGTTTTATATGATATGAGCTTTGTATTGGTTGTACCTAGCAAAAATAGATTGCGGTAACCACCACGATGAGGTTTTATATGATATGAGCTTTGTATGGGTTTTACCTAGTAAAATAGATTGAAGTAGCCACCACAATGAGGTTTTATATGAAATGAGCTTTCTATTGGTTACTCTTAGTAAAATAGATTGCGATAACCACCAGGATGGGGTTTAATATAATACGAGCATTTTTTTTTTTGGTTATACTAAGCAAATAGATTTAAGTAACCACCACAATGAG